TGGCTGTGACTGGAGGGCTGGGGGCTCCCCAGGCAACCCCTGGAGCAGGGAGAGCATGTCTAGGCCAAGACTCACAGCAACCATCTGCCTGTGCTAGGAGTGCTGGATAACCTGTGGAACTCCAGGTTGCATGTGCCCAGGTAGAAGATTTATGAACCTCCCATCCATGCTTGGGGGGCTCCCACTGTGGCCAGAGGCCTAGACCGGGTCCCTTGGCACTTCCACGGTGTCCCATCCCACAGCTGCCAGCTCTCCCCTCTCGAACCCTTGGAGGTGGGATTCTTCTTCCCCAGGCTGGGCATGGGCTTCCCTTGAACTGCGTGGCTTGGGGTTTGGCACCTGACAACAAATAGCTGGTAATGGAGATGGCTGCTGGGGCACTGGGTACTGAAAAAGGCTTTGCTTCCAGCACAAGGCTGCTCCTTACACTTGGGCAATGCCAACCTCCTCCCTGTAAGGACTAACATGGGGTGGCTGTCACTTTGTAATGTCCTGGAATCCTCTTGGTGGTGGGTACTGCTGAACAGTGCCCCTGGGGCAGGAAACTTCCTTGTCCTGCCCTGGAGTTGGCCTGAGAGGAGAGATGTGTTCCTCCATAGGAGGGATGTTGGAGTTTTGTGCCTGGAGCTGGTCTAACCAGGCTGTGTTCCTCCAGGTGGAGGAGCTGAATAAAAAGCTGACTCAGCATGAGAAGGCCACCTTGATCCAGCAGCAGAGAGCTAAGGTAAAGAGGAACCAAGAACCTGGGGGCTGAGATCTTGGGCAGCCTTGGAGCTGTTGGTGCTGCCCAGGGAGCTCACTCAGGGTATGAGGTGCCTCTGAGCCAGTCTCTTCCCTGCCTGCAGGCACTGGAAGAGGAGCTGCAGGCAGTGGCCACCCGCCAGCAGGAGAAGGTGGCAGAGCTGCAAGGGCAGCTCGCCCAGAAGGAGCAGGTGGCTGAGCACTACAAAGGGCAGGTATGCCAGGGGCTGGCACAGCCTCACTATCCCTGGCACCACTAGGAAGCTTGACAGGATTCCTCTCATTGACATCCTAGATGGAGAAGGCAAAAACTTACTACGATGCCAAGAAGCAGCAGAATCAGGACCTGGCAGAGAAGCTGAAGGCCATGGAGCAGCTGCAGAAGGAGAACACGGAGCTCCGGAGCAAGTCAGACAGGCTGGCCAAGGAGCTGCAGCAGAGCATCCTGCAGGCCAAGGAGTCAGAGCTGAGCTGCAGGAACCTTACCAGCCAGGTCCGTGGCCTGGAGGCTCAGGTAGGCACGGCACAGTGGGGCTTCACCCTCCTTCCCCTCCGCCACCTTGCTTAGAGGGTCCATCCATCCCTCTCTGCTTCCCACTCAGGTGGAGTTTGCTGAACGGCAGCTACAGGAGCTCAGCAAGTTCCAGGTGAAGACCACCTCGCTAAAGGGCCTGGAGACTTGCCACCAGAACTTGGCAAACCAGAGCACCGACAGCCTTGATGAGGCACAGCCACTCAACTCTACCAGGTACCAGCCCATCTGGCTGCCAGTACCCTAAAAACTTGCTGTCCTCTTGCTTGCTGTTCGCTGGTGGTTGGGTAAGCCTGTTGGTGCTACTCTCATCCCTTGTCTCTGCAGGCAGGCCAGCAGCTCGGAAGCCTCAGTAGTGCCACTGGACAGGGAAGAGTCGCTGGTGTCGCAGCGGCTGCCCCGGGAGGTGGAGTCGCTGGAGAGCCTCTACTTTACCCCCATCCCCAGTGGGACACGGTCCCAGCTGGAGAGCAGCACCGACTCCTTGGGCAACCTCTCACTCGAATCTGGGTGCAAGACCCGCTCAGCCCGGCGCCGCACCACCATCAACATCACCATGACAAACGTGAGCAGAGGGGCCCGTACAGGCTGCGGAACGGAGGGGTGGGGAGCAGCACTGCAGGGGGACTTGGGGTGCTGGGAAGTGAATAGCTGGACATGGCCTGATAATGTGCACTGGCAGAATAAAATCCAACCTTGTTCTGGGCTGATTCCCAGCAGCATGAGCAGTAGCACAAGGTGGGGATTCTGCCCCCTCTGCTTGGCTCTGGTGAGACCCCACTTGTAGTGCTGCCTTCAGCTCTGGGGTCCCAACATCAGGAGGACATTGAGTTGCTGCAGTGAGTCCAGAGGAGGCTATGAGATGCTCAGAGGGCTGAAACGGCTCTGCTATGGAGACAGGCTGAGAGAGCTGGGGATGTTCAACCTGGAGAAGAGATGGCTCTGAGGAGAACTGAGAGCCCCTTCCAGTGCTTAAAGGAGCTCTAAAGAGCTAGAGAGGGGCTTGGGACAAGGGCCTAGAATGACAGGAGAAGGGGGAATGGCTTCAAACTGACAGAGGACACTGCTAGATTGGATATTGGGAGGAAATTCTTTCCTGTGAGAGTGGGGAGCTCCTGACATACGTTGCCCAGAGAAGCTGTGTCTGCCCCAACCCTGGAAGTGTCAAAGGCCAGATTGGACGGGGCTTGGAGCAACATGTTCAGTGGAAGGTGTCCCTGCCCATGGCAGGGGGTTGGAACCAGATGAGATTTAAGGTTCCTTCCAGCCTAAACCCATCTGTGATTGATTCCCTGATCTCTGGATTTTTCTCTCTCAGAAACAGGCTAAGTCCAAAGAACTGGACTGCGTCAACCTCTCCTTCTATAGCATCCCGTCAGCTCAGTCCCCAAGTGCTTCCCCTGCCAAGAGACAGCTGCGCTCAACTGCTTCCACCCGCTCCCTTGCCAGCTTCCCCTCCCGGGAAACTCTTGTCAAGCTGGAAACTTCCTCCCCAGAGGAGACACCTGGCAATTCAGTGCTGCTGGGCCTCCCCGGGTACCGGCCAGTCACTCGCAGATCCTTGCGCTTGCAGGGGACCAGCAGCTCCAGCCTCGGTGTGTGTGGGCAGGGTGGGCACCGGGGCTGCTGGCTGTGGGGTTCTGCCTGGCTTGGGGAGGGGGGTCACTTCTTACCTGGGACCCCCCTTTCAGCCTTTCCTGCTTTGCATTTAGGCCGGAACAGCATCTACCTGGGCACATGCCAGGACGAGCCGGAACAGCCAGATGACTGGAACCGCATTGCAGAGCTGCAGCGGCGGAACCAGGCCTGCCCCCCACACCTGAAGACCTGCTACCCCCTGGAGAGCAGGGTACAGGGGGGGGAAATGGAGGGTGGAAGGCCCCTTCCCCAGAAGTGGGGTTTGGGAGTGGGTCTGGGAATGGACAGTGCCCCTTGGCAACATCTCCATGCCCCCTCCCCAGCCCTCCACCTCCTTGGGAACCATCACGGATGAGGAGATGAAGATGGGGGACCCTAAGGAGACCTTGCGATGCGCCAGCATGCAGCCCTCACAGATCATGCCCCCCAACAGCAGAGTAGGCACCCGGCGCAGCACCCTGGGCCATGCCTGTGCCGGCATCACTACCCGGCAGCAGAGGAAGCGCCTCTCAGATGAGACCCACCAGAGCCCTGACATCCCCCAGGTGAGCCCAGCCCTCCACTGCAGCACCCTGCTGGGGGCCAGGGGACACAGGGTTGGGGACAGCTGCAGGTGTTCTCCAGGTTTTGAGGGGATTGCTGCAGTTTTGTGGGTGGCACGCCAGTGCTCCTATGCTCTCAGTGCCCCCACTACTCCTGTTGCCCAGTGCTCCAAATGCTCTCAGTATTCCCAGATGCTCCCAGTGCTCCAAATGTTCCCAATGATCCTGGCTTCCATGCCCTGTGTTCCCAGCATCCAGTGCTGTGTACAGTATTCCAGATGCTCCCAAGGCCGCTCTAAGGCTGAGCCTTCTGCCTTCCCTGGGTGATGCTGCCCTCGCTCCTGTCCCCTCCCTGCAACCCCTCAGTTCCTTCAGTGCTGCCAGCTCCCCAGCAGGGTGACCCCTGGATGACGGTCCTAGCTGGTCCCCTCTTTTCTAGTCCAAGAAGCCAACCAGCTGCTTCCCACGGCCCCAGACCACCCAGGACCGCAGTGAGCGGCGTGGCTCCCAAGTCAGCCGACAGAGTGAACAGCCGACCCCCACCAAGCAGGTGAGCTCCATAGGGAGAAGGAGGGGTTAGGACAGACCTCCCTGTCTTGTCCTGAGCTGAGCTGATGGTCCTGCCCCCTCCCCTGCAGGCTCAGAGGCGCCAGTCAATGGCATTCAGCATCCTCACCACCCCCAAGAAGCTGGGGAACCGCCTCCTGCGCCGGGCAGCTGCCCGGAAGAGCACTCCCAAGAACACCCCCAGTGGCAGCACCCGCCGCTCACCCCGCATCGCCACCGCTAAGTCCCCCAAGGGCAAGGTAGGCACTGCCCATACCGCCAGGTGGCCTTCTGAGCACATGCTCTCCCCAGTGCCCCCAGCCCCTGCCCTGGGCTCATGCCATGGCAGCAACAGGTCCCAACATGGGCATGGCTGCTGCCAGGGTCCTGGTCACACTCAACAGTCACTAACGTCCCCTCTCTGTCTCTCCCTTCCAGGCCAGTCGCCGATCGCTCAAGGATACGAAATTCTGAGGTTTCCCCAGTCCTTGTGTTGCTGGCTCTGCCCTGGCCCCCTACCTGCACCCCCTCGCCTCTCCCTGTTCCCCCAGTGCTGCAAGCACATCCCCAGGGCCCAGCAGCACTGAGGGGAGACAGATGGGGCCACCTGTGTGATGCTGCCCTGCACGTCCCACTGACAACCACGGGGCTGCCCTGAGCACGGCAGGGCGTCCATGCCCTTCCTGCACCCATTGTCACCCTTAACCCTCCCGGGACCCAAGGCAAGGGCATGACAGGGAGTGAGGACTGGAAACACCCTTGGGTGCAGGGGCTGGCACCAGGCTGGGGCTGGAGGGTCTGAACCCTCCTCAGGGATATCCTGCAGCCCCAGTGACAGGGACAGAGGTAAGACATTGTGCCCCCTTAACCCCCCGCTGCCTACCCCGCTCCCCCGGTGTGGGACTCCCCCACCTGCCCCTGCCCTCCTGCAGCTCCCAGGGAAGTCGAGGCAACATTTTTAAATGTTTCTACTTGTAAATAAATTGTATTTTTCTCCTGATTTAGGGGTTCTGGCTTCCTCCTCCCATGGGCCACAGTTCTGGAACTCCAAGTGAAGCTTGAGGGGAGGAAAAGCATGACCTCCTCCTTGTCCCCACCATGCCCCAAGGCACAGTGCTCACCCAGGGAACCTGCTGTGGCACTGGGCAGTCACAGGACATTTCTCTCTCTTTCCTCTCTCTCCTTTATTCTTCTCTGGCAGTAACTCCTGCCATTACAGTGTTTCAGGCCCCTTAAGCTCCCCCCAAACCCCACCAAGGGGCTGGAAGCACCTTCTCCATCCATCCCACCAGCCTTGCCACAAACGTCCTGGGGCTGCTGCATCTCTGCCCCTTGCTCCTTGCACCACAGCTGGGTCCAGCACTGTGGCTTCAGCCCCCGGGAGGTGGCAACACAGGGTTTGTCCCCAGCTTTGCTGTCCTACTGCAGGCAGCGGGATGAGGACAGTGGCTCACCGCAAGTGCTGGCATGCTGCTCCACCTCTGCCATGCTGAAAGGCAGCTCGCAAATGGGGCAGGACATCCAGGTGTCAGGGGACAAGGAGGGCCAGGCTGCAGTGGGGTCTTTTTCCCTGCAGTGGGAGGTATGCATGGGGAGTACATCCAGGAGGAAGCAGCCTGTGGAAAGGAGAGGCGATGTGGTTGTCAGAGGCTCACTGGTGTTGGGATGACACGGGGTTTGGTCTGACACCCTCCCTGAGGCTTCTTATGGCAGAGATACACAGGGTTGCACTGTGATGTCCCTCCGCTGCCTGTCACCAAGCTGGTGCCAGGGCACCAGCAGGAGGGAGGTGTCCCAGCTATGGAACCGCCACTGCTATCCCCATTTGTTGCTTGGTGTCCCCTCGCCACCAGAGGACACCCCTCCCAAGCACTTACCTGAGCAGATGGGACAGATGCCCATCTCCCCATCAGTGCTGGTCTGTCCCCTGCCACTCCTGGCCTGTCTCTCTCGGGAGCCATGGGTTTGGGCTCTTCTTCTGACCATGTGTGGCCTTGAGGCAGTACCTGGAGCCCTGCAGAGGGGTCACATGCTGAAGGCACACTGTGCCACATTCTTGTCAACCCAAAGGAGTGAAGGGCTGGACCCAGAACTCTCTGGGACTTGGAGTGGTAAACCACCAGGGAGGATGAGGGCAGGAGGAAAACTGTGACCTGAGGGATTACCTGCCAGCAAGGCTGGGAGCACGTTGCTTGTCTGGCTGCTTGCAGGTGCTTGGGTGGGCTGTGGGTATGTTCAGTGCAGAGCCTGGGAAACAGCAAGTGGGCAGGAACCATGGAGACACAGGATGGTTTGGGTTGGAAGAGACCTTAAAGCTCACCTTGTACCAACCCCCTGCCATGGGCAGGGACACCTTCCACTAGAACAGGTTGCTCCAAGACCCATCTAACCTGGCCTTAAATATTTCCAGGGATTAGGCAGCCATAGCTTCTCTGGGCAACCTATGCCAGGGCCTCCCCACTCTCACAGGGAAGAATTTCTTCTCAATATCCCATTTAACCCTGCCCTCTGTCAGTGTGAAGGCATTCCCCCTTCTGTCATTCTAGGCCCTTGTCCAAAGTCCAGCTCTTTAGAGCCCCTTTAAGCACTGGAAGGGGCTCTCAGTTCTCCTCAGAGCCATCTCTTCTCCAGGTTGAACATCCCCAGCTCTTTCAGACTGTCTCTGTAACAGAGGTTCTCCACACCTTGGAACACCTCTGTGGCCCCCTCTGGACTCATTCCAGCAACTCCATGTCCTTCTGATGTTGGGGGCCCCAGAGCTGGAGGCTGCCTTGCAGAGGCAGAGCAGAGCAGAGGGGCAGAACCCCCACCTTGCACCCTGCTGCCCACAGTGGTGGGGATGCAGCCCAGGACACAGTTGTACAGGCTCACCTACTGGCACCACGGGACCTCCCAGGTCCTTGGCTGGTAGCTCTGGGTCACCCCCCGGCCTCAGTGCCTGACTCTGCACTGCTGACAGCACCATCCAGGCCGAGCGGCTGAGGTAGGCTGGGCTCCCAGCACCCCCTTCCAGCTGCCACAGGTGGCTCCTCAGCTGCTCCTCTGCACTGGACCTCCTGGGGACAAGGAGAATCAGCCCCCCATGAGGGGTCAGCTGAGGCTCTGGGCTCTGAGGCAGAACCTCAAGGGGCTCCAGGCCCTGCTACACAGGAAGAAGATGGGATGGGTCAGGCCAGGCTACTTATAAGTGTGGTTTGGGAAAAAACATCTGGTGGAAGTCAGGGTTGGAGCACCAGGGGCTGTCTGAGGGCTCAGCATCCTCCTGTGGGACAAGGGGATGCCCCAGGCAATCAAGCAGGAACCTTCTGCCCACCATCTTCACACAGCCCCCGGTTCAGCCCAGTGAGCATCCTCCTGTGCTCTGCCTGGGGCACAAGTGGCACCCATGGAGGAGCTGCTCCATCCCCACAGCCTTCCCATGGAGAGCAGTACACAGAGCTGTGAGAGGCACCTACCAGGCCTGGGGGTGGCCGGGGGGCTCAGGCTCGTGCTCTTGTGGCGTGCGCAGGCAGATGAAGGAGAGCTCGAAGTGGCTGCGCGGACTGAAGGGCTGGCTGCAGGTGAGCCGCAGGCAGTCCCAGTGCTGCCTCACCACCGGCACGGGGAAGTCTGCTGTGGGGGAGAGCACCCGGGGTGGAGGGGATGCAGCAGGGACCACTGTCCTGGCACTGCTCCCATCTCTGCTTGTCACCCTGTCACTATGACACCCAGGAAACAGCAACAACTGGGAGATTACAGGCACAAGAAAGGCTGGGGTAGGGGAGCAGAGCTGGTACGACTTTCCCAAGGACAACCGTGACGCCTGGTCTACCTGTCCCCTTCTGCCCCCCCCACCAGCCGTATCCTAGCACCAGCCCCCCATCCTGCCCTTTTGCCAACCCCTAGCCAAGCCCCATCCCTTTGCCAGCCCCCCATCCTCCTCCCCAACCGGTTCCCCATTCCCTTGCCAGCACCCCCAGCCCACCACCAGGGCCACAGCTCTTCCCTGTGCCTTTCTCCTTCGGATCAATCTTTACCTTCCTTAAACATCCGAACACTGCAGCGATTCCGGCCCAGCTTTGAGTCATCCGGTGTCATCAGCGTGACAGTGGGCACCAAGGTGACATAGGGCTGGTCACGCGGCCACGAGGAATGTCCCACCTCGATCTGCAGGAAGGCGCAGCCACAGTTCCCTGGGGAACAGTGGGAAGCATAGGGGGTTCAGAGCTGCTGAGTCCATTGGGGGCACAGCCCTGCCTCCTGGACAGGGACATACCGATGTCCACTGTCCACGTAGCTGATGGGACTGGCTCTTTCCAGCTGCAGCTCCACACTCAGCCACCTGCTGTGGTCCTGGGGGCAGTCCAGCCAGGGCCGGACACTGCCCTCACTCAGCAGGTTCTCCACCGGGTACTTGGGGTCCTGCATGCACAGCAGGGACATGACATGACACATGGCTCCCTCCCTGAATGCCTTTCCCTCCGGCTCCAGATCACTCTGGGCGCAGGGGAGAAACAGGGAATCCCCTGGTAGCCCAAGGAACAACATCCCACTTTGAGAACTGCCTGGAATTCCTGCCCTGCAGCCCTACTTAGTGCCCTTCAGCCTAACAAGGAAAGCTGGTGCTGCACCCTGTCACCCCCCCACCTGCCTCTTTAGAGAACCCAACAGCTCAGGGAGAAACAGCCCCCCTGGAGGAAATCCCCGGGTACCTGTGAGGAGAATGACACCACGTAGCTGATTTTAACTGGAGCCATTCAGGATCCTCTAGAGTCGATGTCCCGCTAGGACACAGATTCCCCTCAGATCCCTCCAGTGCCTAGTGGGGAAAAAGGACAGGTCTGTGATGGGCTTGGGCGTCTCCCAGCTCTGGCACTATTCAGCAGCTCCCAGCCTCAGCCCACAAGCCCTCAGCAGTTCCAGTGCACTCCAGTCCCATCTCACTGCCTCAGTGCCCCCCAGACCTGCCCCACCACCCCTTAGCCTTCTTTGCCACAACATTAACCCCTACATCTGACTCACAACCCCCCCATCTCCGTTCAGCCACCTCTGTGCTCGCTGCTCACCCATCACAACACCCCCAGCCCTGGATGCCACCCACATCTAGCCCACAAGCCCCAGCCCCATTCTGTCACTCCAGTACCCCTCAGTCCTTCCCCACAGCTCACGTCAGCCCCTCCAGTTCCACCCTCCGTGTTCCCAGACCCACAAACAACGCCCCCAGAGCAATTAATTGCAGTGACACCCCACACCCCTCCCCCAGTCCTCCACCACGACCCCTCTCCCAGCCCCACCAAACCTCGGCTGTGCCCCACAGACCCCCCCGCCATCCCCCGCGGCAGTGCCCCCGCAGCCCAACGTCCCCGGGCACCTCAATGCACCGACGCCAAAGCCATCGCCCGAATCTCCCGCCCGAACCGCACGGCCCCACCTCCGCCTCCTCGCCGTCTCCTGCCTGGCCCGGCCGCGGGGCCTGACGGGACTCGTAGTCTGCGGGCGGCGCAGGGCCCCGAGCAGGCGGCGTTACGGGGCGGCCCGGAGCAGTGAGGCGGCGGCGGCGGAAACGGCGGGCGGGCGGCCCGGAGTAGTGAGGCGGCGACGGGAAGGGCGGGCGGGTGGCCCGAGGACACCGAGCCCGCGGGCCTGCGAAGGGCAGGAGGGCCCCGGCAGGCACGGCTCCCCCGCGCCTGGCACGAGTCCCGCCCCTCCCCACTTCCGATTGGCCGCTGGGGCAGCGCCGCGCGCAGCGATTGGCCCAAGCGCGGCGGCTTGTCCGGTGATTGGCGGTAGGCGGCGGAAAGAGCTGGCCGCTGGGGGGGCGGGGCAAGATGGCGGCGGTGCTGGAGGTAGAGGTTGGCGGCCCCGTCGAGCGCGATGTGGAGGAGGTGCGGGGGTTGTGCCGGGCCGGGCCGGGGCAGCCGCAGAGGGGAGGGGGAGGCGGCTGCGGGGCCGGAAGCTCCAGCGCGGGGGAGGCTGGAGGGGAGCCGCAGCGGGCGCGAGGCCTGGGGGGCGAGGGGAAGCGAATTACGAATGTACGCTAAAGGGTTCTGAGGGTCCTTGGAGTGGGAGAGAGGCGGTCTGGGGCACTCTGAGCTTGTAGGGCTTTGCGGCGGGTGGGTGTGGGGAGTGTTAGTGTTGGGGGGTGGCACTGGGGATCCCTGGCATAGGGGAACACCGGGGGTCCCGGGGGCAGGGGGGCACTGGGAGCTTCGGGACGCCCGTGGGGCAGCAGAGCAGTGGAGGTCCCGGGGCCGCGAGGGTGGGGATGGAGGCTCGGCTGTTGTTCCCCTGCTGGCTTTCAAGTGTTCCTGGGGATGAAAAATGACAAAGCTGGAAACAAGAAAGCTATCTGGAAAGCTGGAATTGGGAGCAAGGTGGTGTATGTGCCACGGGCATTGGCGCTGTTGCCCTGGGCTTTGCAGTGGCTCTTTGCCATCCCCTGTTCTTTATGCTCAGGAGTTTTCTTTCCACTTGCAGAGAACGAGAAAAAGAGAGTATGGCTCTGTTCTGTGTGGAGAACGTGGTTCCATCCTGCCTGTACTGTGGGTTACTGTGGGTGACTGGTTGCTGGTGCAGTCAGGTACTTTTTGGTGCTTTTCCTCAAGAATAGGTGGTTTGGCTTAAAATTTCTCAGATGCTGATGGTTGTGTTGGAGAAGATTCCTGGCAGGGTCAAGCTGTGGAGATTCCCTGGTGTATGGCTGAGCTGTGGGAGCTTGTAGCTCCTCCCCACATCTTGTGTTGCTGTAAGAGAGCAGGTGCAGTGGGGTGATGGAGGTTTAGACCACAAAGCAATTGCTCTAGAGTTGCTACTGGTTATATTTGTAAGATATTTTCTGATGACTTTGTATGTAAAAATATGAAAGATCCAAGTTCTCTGATGCTCAGAAGTGAAATTCCCATTTTTCGTTCTGTGGGAAAGCTACTTTTGGGGTTGGCAGTGAGGGAGTGCATATACGACCTGTGCTTATCCCTGTTATTCCACACAATCCATGTCTGTCAGGACAAAATCTGTTTGCTTGTGTTGTTCAGAGGTCTTGGCAGCTCTTTGGGCAGAGCGAGTTGCTGATGAATCACTAACAGTGGGGACCTGAAAGCAGTTTAACATTCTCCTGGAATAAAGCTGAGTGTCCTGTGGCTCTGGCTCTGCTTGCAGGGAGCTTGGGCCTTCAGCAAAAGTTTAGTTTCCAATTACCCAAGTGTTTGATCAGTTAGGACCTTTCTCTTCCCTGTTCCTTGTTCCTGCTCTGTTTTATGAGCAGGAGAAAAGCAGAACTGAGATTCCAAAATCTCTCAAGACTTTCACTAAAGAACATGCCTCTTCCCAACCTGCCTTGGTTGAACTTGCAGCACTTTGAGATTTAACTTCCCATTATTTGGTTGTTCTTATTGGGTGCTGTGAGACAAAGACTGAGGTTGGGGCTGTGGGAAAGGTGAGATCAGGGCTAGTGGCTGCTCTGGAGCTTTGAACTGAGATCAGCAGTTGCTTATTCTCCATCCTCAGGGCATTCTCCTTGCCTCCTTCACAGATTTAGAGCATAATGAGATTAGAGCTGGCTCACAGCAGCATATGTGTGTCCCTGCAGATCCCCCCAGCTCCCTGGGCTCTGAGGAGCGGGTGGTTCTGGTTTTGGTGCTGACCCTGTCAACAGCCTTTGTGTTTTCCTTGAGAGAGTAATTCCATTGACTGTCCCAGTGGTGGGGATCACAGGTTTGTGGAGGCTTTGGGGCATCAGGCCCTTAAAAAACCAGGAAGTGGCATGAGGTTCTTCCAAAGGCCATCATACCACGTCTGACAAGATGATTAGATGTTAGTCCAAGGTATCCAGTTTCTCCCAGTCCTGACCTCCCTTAATAAAGTTATTTCAGGAGCTTTGAGCTCTGGGAAGTCTGGTGAAGCTCAGTCCTTGTGATTGAGGCAAAATTGTGTCTGGTGCGTGGATCTGTGGCTGGCTTGGAAGCACAGCTTGGAGGAACCTCTGTGCAATGTCAACAGGATGTCCACAGGGTTTGGGGCTGCTGGAAGAATTTGGAGATCTGGGGATGCTGAAGCAAAGAGGCTGGGAGATGTTTCCCAAGGCAGGACTGACTCTGTGGATGGAGTGGCTGGTGGTGTGGTATGGAAGAGTGAGCAGAGACCCTGTATAGGGATAAAAAAATTGGTGTGGTTGGAAGGTGCTTGTCAAACATCTTTATTCAGCAAGAATGGGGCCAGAGCCTGGGGGGAGCAGGTATCTCCTGGGGGGAGGTAGTGGAAACCCCTGCATGACACCCAGAGTTTGCAGAGGGATCGGCCTACGCTGGAGCCAACAAGCGCTTGGGGATTCTCAGCTTCTCCTGTGTGCAGTGACTAGTTTTTAAATCTCTTTTTCCTGTTCATATCAGAGCAGTTGTTCTTGCTCCAAATTGTGTCACAGCAACTGAACTGATGGATCTGGACTGGCTGCTTTAGGAGCAGAGGCGCTCGGGGAATTTGGTCGATACAAACACCCTTCTCAGTGTTGGTGTCAGGTTGTCACCACCTCCCCATGGATTTTGACACAAGCCAGTGAGCTCCAACACGGGTTTTTGTAGCTCTAGATTTTGCATCCAAGTCCTGAAGTACTTCTCAAGGGCCTCAGGAGCTGAATCTCTCACAAGTGTTGCTCTGGGGTGAAGCTCAGCAGCTGTTCCACACCAGGCAGACAGATTGCTGCTGTGAGTCTTTCCCTGCCTCCTCACCCTGGGGTATAATTAGGTGCCACAGGGGAAGCAGGGCAGCTGCACGTGCCCTCAGCCAAGCCTGGCTGTGGTGGGAGCTGCTGGCTATGAGACACCTTTGTGCCGGCGTTCCTGTGCTGGGCAGGCGAGGCTGATGGCTGGGCCATGCTGGGGAGAGCCCTGGGGTAAAGGCTGAAGCCAAGCCCATGGCCCCATACCCAGTGAGGCAAGGTAGAGCCTGTTCCTGTGTACACGTCTCTGCTGTGTATGCAGGAAAGAGCGATAACAAAGGTTATGGCTTGTTTCCAGTTTCCATCCCCAGGGCCTCAGCAATGCCTGGAGTGTTTCTGGCCCCATGAGGATTTGTAAACCCCGTGTGTACATTCCCAGCCCTAGACAAGCTGCTCTTGGTTTAATCTGAGTTTGTGTCTCACCAAGAAAAGGCAATGGAATCCAGAGCTGTGGGTTTCCCTCCCCAGTGCTGTGGGTCAATGTGCTGCCCGGTCTGTGAGCCCATGTGGGGACATAATTGGGGCTGGAGGGTTCTCAGCAATTAAGTGAAGACATTGAGTGAAGATTTTGTGAAGGTAAAGATTTTGCCCAGAGAAGCTGTGAACTCTCCATCTCTGGAAGTGCTCAAAGCCAGGTTGGATGGGGCTTGGAGCAACCTGGTCTAGTGGAAGGTGTCCCTGCACATGGCAGGGTGATAGGAATGAGAAGAGCTTTAAGGTCTCTCTGACCCAAACCATTCTGTGATTCTATGATTCTATACAAAGCTCCAAGTGAAAGCTGAAATGCAGTGTCAAAGCTCCCCCCACTCCTTCTCTGTCCAAAAGCGAGAGTATCCACGCAAAATCTCACTGGAGAAGATGGATTATACGAGCCCATTGTCAATCATCACTAATAACAGCAGCTCCTGTCACTCTAGGTTGCTCCTGCCTGTAATGTTTGAGAGGAACTTCCAGCCTTCTCAGCAAAACAAGGCCTAAATCTTTCTTTTTCTTGAATTTTGAAAACTTTTTAGCACTGTTTTTTTGCTGGTGTTCAGATACTGTCCCCTGTCCTGCAGTCTGGTGACATTTTGGACTGCATTTGCATTGGCTACACTGGGATCACCATTCTATGCCTCAGGATGCCTGGCAGGGTTGTGAACATGGGATTTAAACCAATTCTCTGATACTGGTGGTGTGGGATAGTGGGCAGAGCCTCAGCTCCATTAAAATATGGAAGTGGAGGTGGCAGAGGAGCAGGGGGACTCACTGCTTTCCAAGTGCTGCCTGGGAGAGTGAAGGACAAGCCTGGGCTATGCTGTCACCGTGGGCACATCCAGGTTTGTTACTTAAAGCATCTGAGTCCAGAGATCCCTTCTTCACATTCTCAGAGAGCAATCCTGGAGGTCTCACGGGATGGCTCTCACCAGAAGATAAAGGAGCCAGGTGCCATGTTTCCTGCGATGAACAGGTAGCACAGGCACACAGAGTCCTGCTCACGTGGGCACAAGCCAGCACTGTGCTGCTTAGGAAGGTGAAGGGAACGAGTTACTCATTTTGTGGTGCTGCTGCTGCTCCCAAACTCCAGCGGCTGATTTCATGGGTGTTTCTCTTGTCTCCCTAGGTTGACCTCTCGCACTTGTCCCCAGAGGAGAGATGGAGGTGAGTGTGTTGGGAGGTGAATCAGTGTGTACAGCTTGAGCGAGCTCCTGCTCCTGGCTGGAGCGACTGGCAGCACAGCCCGTGTTCACAGTGAGAGAGGACAGGGTCAGCATTTTTTGCTGGGGGGAAGAATGAATTGTCTTAAAAGGCACGTTTTTTTTCTTTTAAACTACTTGCTAAATATTAGAATCACAGAATAGTTTAGGTTGGAAAAGCCTTCTGAGACCATCAAGTCCAAGCATTCCCCCAGCTCTGCCAATGCCACCACTAACCCATGTCCCCAAGCGCCACATCCACACCTCTGTTAAATCCCTTCAGGGATGGGGCTCCCCCACTACCCTGGGCAGCTGTGCCAGGGCTGGACAATCCTTTCTGTGAAGAAATTTTCCAAAATATTGAACCTAAACCTCCTGTGGCACAATCTGAGGTTGTTTTCTCTTGTTCTGTCACTTTTTACCTGGAAAAAGAAACCAACCCCCACCTCAGTCTACCCTCCTGTCAGGGAGTCGTAGAGAGTGAGAAGGTTTCCCCTGAGCCTCCTTTTCTCCAGGCTGAGCCCCCAGCTCCCTCAGCCACTCCTTATCAGTTTTGTGCTCCAAACCCTTCCCAAGCTCTGCTGCCCTTCTCTGGACACCCTCCAGGCCCTCACTGTCTGCCTTGTGAGGGGCCCGAAAAATTCCTCCTTTTCCCTAAGCTAATCCAATTTCAGCCAGATGCTTACTGAAAATCACAGTAAGACTTGTCTCTCGGTATTGCATTAGTACAGGCTGGGGGTCGACCTGTGGAAAGGTGTAAGGATGCTCTGTGGAGAAGGATATGGGGGTCCTTGACAACAAGCCAGCAGTGTGCCATGGGGAGCCAAGAAGGCAGTGGTGTCTGGGGAGGCATTGGGAAGAGCATTGCTAGCAGGTTGAGGGAAGTGATCCTGCCCCTCTGCTCAGAATGGATGAGACACATATGCAGTGCTGTGTCCAGCTCTGGACTCCTCAGGACAGGAGAGATATGGAGCTCCTGGAGCAGGTCCAGTCGAAGCTGCAGAGATGCTGAAGGGACTGGCGTATGTCTAGGAGCTGGAAAGGCTGAGGGACCTGGAGCTGTTCAGCCTCCAGAGGAGACACTGAGAGAGGACCTCCCCAGTGTGTGTCAGGGTCTGCAGAGAGGGGCAGAGGATGGACCAGGCTCTGCTCAGGGGGGCCCAGCAATAGGACAAGAGGAACAGACAGTAACTGATGTCCAGGAAGTTCCACTTGAACATGAAGAACTTCCCTGTGCAGGTGATCGTGCACTGGGACGGATTGCCTGCAGAGGGTGTGGAGTCTCCCTCACTGGAGATATTCCAGAACTGTCTGGACACAATCCTGTGCCATGTGCTCTGGGATGACCCTGCTTGAGCACAGATGTTGGACCAGATGACTCACTTCCAACCTGACCCATTCTGTGATGCTGTGTTAATTTTTAGCGGAGGACTTAAATCAGAGAATTTGGCATATTTAATGTATTTGGATTTTTTTTCTTCTAACTTGAACAGTATTATCACCTTGAGACCAAGACATAAGGATGTCACAGCTCTTAATTCCACCTTGGTTTTTGGTCAAACAGCACAATCTGTGAAGAAACCCCAGATATCTGGCAGGCATCAGTCCGGAAATCACTTGTTCCAGCATGCTCATGGTGGAGAGAAGTGATTTGCTGGGACTTGGGGGTTTTGTTAGGTGTCACCTGTCCCCTACCCTTGACCTTTCCAGCCTTTCCCTTGCTGGGCAAGAGGGAAAATGGTGTTAGTGGCTCCAAACCTGGGCTGAGGGTTTGGTAATGAGAAGTGACACACACTCAGGGGGTCCAACAATTGCAATGTGCTCTAGGAGGACCGTGCTTGATCAGGGAGGTGGAAACAGATAACCCAAACACTTCTAACCTTGCCCATTCTGGGATTGTGAGTTATGTGGACTGTATGATCCATGTTTGTTAATTCAGGTATGTCAGGGGGAGTTCTCCACCTCCTTCACACCTGGATGGGCTGGGTGTTCTTGATTTTCACAGCATAGAAATGAGCTGTGAGCAACTTTTTTTCCTTCCTCCTCTGGATTGTTCACAGTCCCTGACTCCACGATTCTTCTTTGAGCTGTTTTTCTGTCTGGTCTTCCTGGCTCTCCCGAGCTGTCTGTGCCCCACTGTGCAGTCTGTGCCTGCATGCTTTTCAGCTGCTTTTCCCTGGTTGTTGCAGGGTGGAGCATGCACGGATGCACGCCAAGCACCGCGGGCACGAGGCAATGCATGCCGAAATGGTCCTCATCCTTATCGCCACACTGGTGGTGGCACAGCTCCTCTTGGTTCAGTGGAAGCAGCGGCACCCTCGCTCCTACAATGTAAGTGACCTCCTGCAGCTTTTCTGCCTGAGGCTGGATGGGAGTGTTGACTGACACCCTCCTTTTGCTAATGGGAAGTGTGTTCCTGGTTTTCCTATTGTCTGATGTTGCGATTCCCTTTTGACTTCCTAGCAGCATGGGGGATTTTAAGTAGGGATGAGGATGGATGGACCTGAAAGCCTCAGATTTCTGCAGGAAGCAGTACCAATAACTCAGTGTGACATGGTGCCTTGACACCAGGGATGGACAAGCAGATCTCAGGTGTTGTCCGCAGGGAAGCTGCATTTTGTGGGTGCTTCTTCAGAAGCAATGGGAGCTCCTTGCTGCCAGGACCCTGGGTTTGATGGTTCCTGCAGCACTCTGCTGAGCAGACCTGCCACTTGCCAATGCCACCAGCTGGGTGGCTGGGTCTGTTAGTTAACTAAACCAACTTTACTCTGACTTCCTTGTCATAATGATAATATTGTCATAATTAATGTCTCCCAGGAGTACCTGTAATCCTCTGTGAACTTTAAACCAAACCTGTTTGCCCGTTTCCCTCCAGCAGCACCACAAGAGCTCAGCTGCACAGCTGTAGATCTGTTTGGGAATAGGCTGGAGTGCAGAGACAAGCCAAAACCTTCTTGCCTTGTGTAATATGTGCCTGTGGTTGCAGCGTCAGGACCCTGGGAAGACAAAGGTTTATGTAGCTGCCTTACAACAAATTGGTTGGGTGGACCATCTCCTGTACCTTACTCTGGAGATGGTTCCTCTGCATTCTCCCTCTAGCTCTATCCTTTGCTACCAAAAATCACCTGACTGCTGCCTCTGACTCCCTCACAAAATCACAGAACCACTTGGGTTGAAAAAGCCCTCTAAGATCATGGAGTCCGACGAGCACTGCCAAACCCACCACTAACCCTTGTTCCTAGGTGCCACATCCATATGTCTTTTAAATACCTCCAGAGATGGTGACTCCACCGCTGCCCTGGGCAGCCTGTGCCAGGGTTTGATCACCCTTTCAGGGAAGCAATTTTCCCAATATCCAACCTAAACCTTCCCTGACACAACTTGAGGTAATTTCCTCTTGTCCTATCCCTTGTTACCTGAGAGCAGAGCCTGACCCCACTTGGCTCCCCCCTCCTGTCAGGAGTTGCAGAGAGCAAGAAGGACCCCTCTGAGCCTCCTTCTAAGCTAAGCCCCCCTCAGCTCCCTCAGTTGCACCCCATCAGACTCATGCTCTCAGCTGAGCTCTGAGCTGTTTTCCGGGTGCTGCAGACCAAATCTCTGCAGTTTCGTGGTGCTTTTCAGGGCCCTTGGATGCAGGCAAGAGAATGGCTGCCATGACTGTCAGGATGTTTCTGATATCTGAGGAGCAGAGAACCAGCTCTGAGTGCCTTTCCTCTGTTCCTGCAGATGGTGACCCTCTTCCAGATGTGGGTAGTGCCTCTGTATTTCACGATCAAGCTGTACTGGTGGCGGTTCCTGGTGATCTGGGTGCTCTTCTCAGCAGTCACAGCTTTTGTCACCTTCAGGGCAACTCGAAAGCCTCTGGTACAGACAACACCCAGGTTCGTCCTTCTGTTCCTGAGGGAACTTCTCAGGCCCAGAATAACCATTACAAGGAGCTCTTTCCAGTTTCCCTGCCACAGATGACTATGTTAAGCTTTGCTTCCTGGGAGCCTGGTGTGAAGGCCTTAACTGGCTGCTGGCAACCAGCCTGATGGACCTGGTACCCGGGTGGGTGGTGGAAAGCCAGATTCCACGTGGGCTGGTAGCCTCACCCAGGGCTGCACGGTGTGCAGCATGCTTCCTTGTGGCCTTTGGAGATCTTGAGGTTTCTAGTTTGAAAGTCAAGACTGTGAGCAGCCCATGGCAGGTTGAATAAGGCATGTAAAGCTCTTGCCCATGTGTAGGGGTAGGTGATTTGTCTGCAAAACCACTGTGATTTTGAAAAATAAAACTCTTCGGGTGATTGGCACAGTTTCATTCAGGAAAAAACAAAGGCATTAAATTCTTTGTTTTAATTCTTTACAGGCTGGTTTATAAATGGTTTCTGCTAATATACAAGATCAGCTATGCAACTGGTATTGTGGGGTACATGGCTGTCATGTTTACACTCTTTGGTCTTAACTTATTATTCAGGTGAGTGAATCTTTCCCACTTCTGGGGCAATGGGGTGTAACATGTCATTGAATATTACTCTGGAAAAACAATTGTCTTGGCAATCTGATTAATGGCACCAAAGAGGCTATTGGGATGTCTTTTTGCTCCTGAGAGGATCATGGGTGAGGTGCTGGTACCTGAACTAGTCCAGATTGCTGGAGAGCCCTTTTTCCAGCTCAGCTGTTGGCAGCTCCCCCAGCTCTATGGTGTCCAGCCTGGGGCAGCAGTGGAATTTTCTTTGCTGTACTGATGAAGATGTACCTGCAAGAAGCAGCGAGCCCAGGAGTGATGGCAGAGGAGTGTAGTCCAAGCCAGCTTCATGTTTAGACAGGTTGACTACTTCTCTGGAACATTCTCTGGAATCGTATATTCTCTGGAATATGATGAGTGGCTTTGCCCTCAAAAAAACCTCTTGATGGTTGGGCTTTTCTGTTGTAGAATCAAACCAGAAGATGCAATGGACTTTGGCATCTCCCTCCTCTTCTATGGTCTTTACTACGGAGTGCTGGAGCGGGACTTTGCTGAGATGTGTGCAGATTACATGGCCTCAACCATTGGGGTGAGTTCACGACAAGCTGTCCCCCAAGCCAGAGTCATCCCCCATATCGGCGGGCCCAAAACATGTTGGTCCCGGCAGCAGCTTTGGCTTCCCTCAAATGGGAAAGTGCATAGAACTTCCCCCTCAAGGAAGGGTCTCTGGCTGTAATGTAGCAAGAGTTGCTCTGAAGAGTGCTTCTCCTGAAGAGTGAAGCCTCTGCTGGGTCCCCTCATTCCCAGAAGGACAAGAAGTTCTTCCCCAGGAGTGCATGGTGGCCCTGGCACAGGTTGTTTAGAGACTTTTGCTGTCCCTGTGGACAGAGGGCTTGGTGGCCCAAAATCTGTAGCCCACTCATGTGGTATCAAAATAACCCACTCCACTAAAAAATACGTGACCTAGGAAGGACACCAGTGGAGTAGGTCATATTTCTTCTTTTCAGCAGCTGTTTAGGGTCTTGGGCTTTGTGTTTCCTCCTCTTCCTTTCTGAGCTTTCTGCTGCTGCTTCTTGAGGTTCTTCTCCAGTCTCTCACCTGCCACACTGCAACACCTTGTTACAACTCGGGTCTCTCTCAGATCCCCAGGGCTCTGTCAGATGCTCAGAGCAAAGCTGTGCCAAGACTGTAAGGGAGATGTGTTTTTGCTGATGATACTAAACCAGGAGGAGCTGTGGTCTCTTAGGAGTGAGAGCTGGACAGACAAGAGAGCTGGGCAAGCTTCAGCCATGTGAAATTTAGCAGGGCAAGTGCCAAGATTCTCCTCCTGGGGCGGTATAATCCTGTTTATAGGTACAAATTTGGAGACGAGCCTGGAGAGAGTCCTGTGAAAAAGGATTAGGGAGTTTGGGTTGACAGCAAGTCCCTCAGCATGGGAAGGGGGTACGTGGGGCTGGGGTGTGATGGGCCACTGCAACACTGAGCAGCTCCCTGTCCTGTTGTAGTTTTCCACAGCCGGACCTGTAACAAGGTTTTTAAGCCCCAAAGGCCGAGGCGACTCCCGGGGTGCTGACCCCAGCCCTCCTTAGAGCTTAGCCGTGCCACCGCGGGCATGGGACACGTGCCCTCCCACTGTCACCGCTCTCCCTCTGCTCTGCCCTCGCTCAGTTCTACAGCGCCTCGGGAATGCCCACCAAGCACCTCTCCGACAGCGTCTGCGCTGTCTGTGGCCAGCAGATCTTTGTGGACGTCAACGAGGAGGGGATCATTGAGAACACTTACCGCCTCTCCTGCAACCACGTGTATCCTTCTCTTCAGGTGCCAACCCCCTTACCTTGCTGGCCCCACGCTGGGGTTGCAGCAGGGAGCTCCTGCCCCATGGCTTCTCCCACAGTGGGTGAAGAAATGCCCATCCTGGGACTTTGGGGTGTCTGGCTGAATTTGCACGTGTTCCATGCCTGTGTCATCACTGACTCAGCATCCATGAAATCACTTCGTTGTCACCTCCACGTGCATCACAAGGGGTTATTTCCCCTTTCTTCCTCTCCCCAGCTCTCTCTGCTGAACCATGGAGCTGCACCTCACTTTGCACCTACCTTTGCCTAATCTGCTGTGACCTATCTGCCTGGCAGTGGCAGCTCTGATGGTGTGAGGTTAGGATATGCCCTGCTCTGTGCCACACTGGCCCTTCATCAGAGACCCAGTGCAGTGGGTCCTGTCTGAGTCTCCATAAGGGAAAATCAGGGGGAAACACTGCCGGCCCCTTTCTTAAAACAGCCCCCAGGTCCAGTACTGCTGGTCACTGCCTGTTCTGATCACAGCCTGGCAGCTTCCTCCTTTCCCAGAACTCCTTCAGGGTTTCCAGGACCCTGGAGTCACTCAGCCCTTCATATCAGGTGATTGATATGAAGTGGGTTTTGAAACTGGAAGTTCTCAGCACCAGCTGAGCAGGGTTTTTTCTCTGTGGTGACTCAGCCTGGAAGTGGGGTGTCCTCTGGCACCGCGTGCATTACTGCCTATGAGGTGGTTTCTAAACTGGGCCTATGCAAAGGTCATGCTGGCAAAACTCATGGCCTAAATTTAACTGTTAGGAACTGTTTGTGAGATTTATGGCTGACCCATGCAGAGTCTGGGACTGTGGGAGCACTGGGTGGTGTGGTTGTCAAGGAGCTGGTCCATGTTCCTGGTGGTCCTTAGGGATGAGGGCTGGCTGGGCACCCCTGGATCTATGGCTCTAGGGCTGACAAGTTGCAGCCCCTCCTGTTGTTGACTTCCTGGCATTCCCCCTTGGTTTGAGCAGCAGAGATATTCTGAGGAAAGTTTGTTTGCTCAGTGACACCCTTGTGCGTGGCAAGTTGGCTGCAGCCACCTCATGTTTCCCTGTAACTTCTCCAGGCAGGGCTCAGTTGTGCACATCCTTGTGACAGAGCACAGCAGTAAGCTAGACCCTGGGAGAAATTTCACAAATGTTGTCAATCCCTAGAAAGCCTTTGAAGAAGGCCTGAACCTTCTCAGTGCTGGGCATCATCAGTAAAGGGTTTCAGTCTCCCTGGTGCGCATGCGTTGATCAGGCCATCATTCTGCCTCCCTAATCCTGTCCTGCTGCCCTGTGAGCCCCTTCTGCTGTCCCTGGAAGCTGCTGCACCTTCTAGGAAAGGTCTGTGGTTGTGCAATGACTCATCCTCATGTGGCAGAATGTTTCCTTGGCCTGGGGGGACTTTCTTAGGCTTGGTGGTTCCCTTCACACTCAGTCATGTGTCCCCCTCTTCCTCTAGTTCCCCTTAACGTCCCACTCCCCAGGTTTCATGAGTTCTGCATCCGTGGCTGGTGCATTGTTGGGAAGAAGCAGACGTGTCCGTACTGCAAAGAGAAGGTGGATCTCAAGAGGATGTTCAGTAATCCGTATCCTTTCTCCTGCTGGGAGTCAGCACTGTAGGAAGGAGAGCAGTGGGTAGAGTACTTAAGGGGTGAGGGCCTCATCTTACCCTGGGTAAGCCACAGCTTTCCCATGACTGTGGCAGAGACCCTGCAAAACCCAAGGCAAGCCTGGCCACAGCTTTCCTTCTCTGGGGACCTGTGTCTGTCCTTCCCTGGGTGCCGGTGTCCATCCCTCCCTGGGCACCTGTATCCTCTGTCCCTGCTTTGGGGCACCTTTGGGTGGCTCCTGGGTGGGCCATGCTCCTCTCACCCATCTCCCCATGGCTCTTTAACTCCTTCCTGCCCAGCTGGGAGAGGCCTCACGTAATGTATGGGCAGCTGCTGGACTGGCTGCGCTACCTGGTGGCCTGGCAGCCAGTGATCATTGGACTGGTCCAGGGAATCAACTACATCCTGGGGCTGGAGTAAGCGCAGGCGGTGGGGAGCCGCAGAACCATGAGAGGACACGTACCTAGGGCTGGGGACAGTTGCCACCGGAGATGCTGGCTTTGCTCCATCACCTCTCAGGACCTCGGCCACCCCTGAGGACAGCGGCATTAGGGCCCCTCCTGCCAGGGCTGAGGGAGGATTTTTTTAAAAAGCAATTATTTTAATGAGCGTATTTAAAACTTTCTATTGCAGCTGAAAAGAGACACTTGTCCCCTTTCCCTGCCCCTCTTGGGTCCTTCACAGCACCCCACTGGACTGAGCTTTGGGCTGGGGGCTGTTCTCCAGCTCCCTCCTGCTGCTCTGCCAGGGGAGGCCATGGGGAGAAGGGCTGAGGCTTTGCTGGCTCCGATGCTGGCACCCCGGAGCAGCCTTGCTGGCAGTGAGGATGGGATGTGGGGGGCTGCAGAGGAGAGGCTGGAGCCCAGTGCTCTGAAAGAGGGGACAGAGGGATGCCTGGCTACTCCAGGCTGCCGGGCCCCCTTCTGGGTGCCATGGGTGTGCCAGGAGGAACCAAGCTGCTCACTGGCATGGTGATAGTGGGCTCTGTCTCGGCGAACCCTTTTATATGCTCCCAAATTTTTTATGTTCCTCCCTGGAGGTCAGCGTTGTCCCCTGGCGGCTCGGAGTTGTCAACCAGGGCATGGAGTGGGACCGGTGCTGTTCCTCTCCCTGCGCCCTTTTGGGTGACGGTACATCAAGAGCAGCCCAAGAGTGGGTGCCCCTGCCCCAGGGCGTGGGGGCCTCGCTGGGTGTTGCTCTTCTTGGCACTGGAATAAAAGGGATGGAGCAAAGGTTGGGCTGGTGCTGGCATTTCCTTGCCCTGGCATTGCACCATGGCATCCTCCTGGCCATGCCAGTTGGAGCCGTGTCACAGTCCTGCTGGTTTATTGGCAGCGGGTGGGGGCAAAGTCCCCTGAGGGCCATTGGTGGTATTTTGGCATGCAGATACTTGAGCCATATCACCTGAGGAGACTGGGGTCTGATGAGGGGCTATGAGTCAGCTCCTAGCTCAGGGGATTTGAGAAGTGGCATGGCTATGGGCACCACGTGGGCTGTGTGCCCCCCCCCCTCCCCTTGGCGAACCCCAGTGGCCTGCTATGTCCTTTGGGTTTTCTTTTGGGTGAAACCACATTGCAGTGTTGTGCCAAACACCGAAACAAGAGTCCTGGAAATGGAGACGTGGCACTGGGTTTTTTTTGATTGTTTTTCCTGCTCCAGGGTGAGGCCATGGTTCCTCCTTTCAGCTCTCCCAGGGGGATGGATATCATGTGGATGGCAAACAAACACCTGTGGCACCCAGAGTTCAGCTGGTTGGTGTTGGTGTGAGCAGGGAGGTGGCAGAGGAGCACAGGGCATTGGGTACTGCCATGGGAGCGGCCTCTGGCCAGTCACTATCCATTGGACACCCATGGGTGCTGTGGAGAGGATGTGGCTGCTGGCCTCATCCTAGCAGGAGGATAGGGATGTGTTGCACTTGGCAGGTCCCCAAGATAAACATTCCTGTTCCCACCACCTTTCTACCCTGCTGGGAACAGGGATAATGAAACTCACTGGGTGATTAGGGACTTTTTTCCAGGCAGTGCCAGGGCCTGCAGCTCAGGTGGCTGCTTCTGCCCTGTGGCTGTGCCTGCACTGGCTCCTGGCCTCCATGGTGCTGGGGAACAGAACTAGTGGGTTGTTGAAACTGTGTCTGCTGCCAAGGGGCTGGCTCAGGGGATGAGGGGGCTTTGCTCGGGGACAGGGGAGAGGAGCCCGGTCATGCCCCTGCTCAGGCTTCCCACAGCCAAGCACCAGAGTGAAGCCTGGGTTGGGTCCTGGGGGTTCCTCTCCACGAAGCTGTTGTCTTGCCCCAACTGGGACACCCAGGGGTCAGCAGCCGGGGCTCCCCCGACTCACTGTGCATGCTCAGTGCCCCGGGGGCTTAACCCGTCTCCCTGTCTTGTGCAGACCCTGACTTGCCCCTGACGCCAGAGTGTCAGGGGACAAACCAGCATGTCCCAGAGTCCTGTGACGCCCCTTGGCTCAGCCTGTGCCCAACGTGATGGAGACGGGCGCCCAACCGAGCCCCGCTTCTTCATCCCTGGGAGGCCCATGGATGCTCGCACAGGGGCATGCTGGTCATGGAAGTGCCTGGGGGACGTTCGCCTCAGGTGTAGGGACATGGAGCACAGGGGGCACGGAATGCTGGGGACAGCAGGCACGTTCTGGGAACCAGGGGATATGGGGGCACGGGCCCTATGGACACGCAGCGGGGCCGGTGTGGGTCCCGATCGGCGTTTAGATGCGGATCTCGGAGTCGTGGAGTCGTGGCATCGCGCCACGTCGGCGGGGCCGGAGCCGCGGGCGGTCCCAGTGAGTCACGGTGCTGCCGCTCGCCTCGCCCCGCCCCGGGGCCGCCCTATAAAGCTCCGCCGTCGCGAGCGCCGCCGCCCCCCCATGGCTGAGCCACGGCTGCCCCGTACGGACCGGGGCGGGGGACAGCTTTGGGTGGAACTAGCCGCGATCTGAGGGATCCCGAGAGGAGGATGCCGGAGGGAACGGGACCATCCCAGGCTCAGGGGATGGGGAGGCGCTGGGGAGGGGATGTGCTGGGTGGATCAGGTCAACTGGGGGGTGCTGGGGGAATGCGAGTGGGCGGGACCATCCTAGGCTTGGGTAGTACTACGGGGGGATGATGAGTAGACCACGGCCTGCTGGGGGAAATGCTGGGAAGATGCGAGAGGACGAGCCCGGGGGTTGCTGTGGGGGAGATGCTGGGGGAACCGTGACTAGCTGGGAGGATGCTGAGGGGACCGAACCATCCCAGGCTCGTGGGGAGCATCCCGGCATGTCCAGCGCTGAGCTCCATCTCTGCCTGCAGGGGCCCCAGGACTCTCTGCCTTGCTTCTCCTGCTTCTGCCCTGCTGGGCCCTGGCTGTTCTCTGTGCAGGTAGGTGGGGGTTACTGAGGGAGCCGGGAAGGCTAGGGTCACCTCTGGGCTCTGTGCCTCTCAAGGGGCCTGTGCAGGGTTCTATGGATGAGGATCCTCTATGGGACCCTGCCCTCTCACCCACCCCAGAGATGTGGGGTCTCAGGGGGTCGCTCTTGACCTCCTGCCTTACTCCACTCAGCTCCCCCAGGTGCCATGGCCCTGCAGCTCCCCAGCATCACCACCCTGCGGATGCCAGCAGAGGCCCCCTGTCCAGGTGAGAGACCCCTGGGGCCATGGCAGAGATGGTGAAGCTGCATGAGTCCCCCAGCTGGGGGAGGCACAGTGGGGTCAGCTCCTGCGCCAGCCCCCAGCACACACACAAGGTGCATCTTCCACCCACAGCCAAGATTCTGGGGTGCTGACGAGGTGGGGCAGCATTCTCCATTGTTGGGGGGTGCGGGAGGACTGTGACTGTGGCCAGCCTGAACAGGGGGGCACTGGGGACCCTTGCAGCACCCCTGATCCCCACGTCCCCTCTGGCCACAGGTGAGAGTGTGACAGTGTCATGTGAGGCGACAAGTGAGCTCCCAGAGCTGACGCTGCTCTACTGGCTGGCGAATGGCTCCTTTGTGGAGAGCCTGTACCCAGATGGGGCCGTCCATGAGGGGATAGTGCAGTGAGTATGGGGATGGGGGACATGGGGGCACAGAGACAGTGGGGTGGCCCCAGTTGGGGCAGGGACCCTGGATCTGCCAGCCCAGGGTGGGCACTGATGGCTCCCCCCCGCGTCTGCAGAGAGGAGCTGTGGGGCTCGGGGGTGGCTCTGCTCCGTGACCTGCACTTCAGCTCCTTCGACACCCAGCACCTGCTCACCAACTTCACCTGCGTGGTGCTCAGCCCTCTCGGTGTCGACACCAGGGAGGTGCGGTGGCCCCCGCCAGCACCAGCCCCCTGTCACTGTCAAGACAGGGGGGCTGGGCTGAGACCAAGGAGCAACTCGTGACTGGTGAGCAAGAGGGTCCCTGCTCCAGCAGCACCGTACTGCTATGTGCACGTGTGACACCTCCATAGAGGCCCATCTCCGTGACCTGCTGTTGGGACACATGGCCCCACATGTGCTGGCCCCACTGAGCCTGGGGCTCCTGATGCCTGGGCCAGCCCCAGCCCTGCCTGTAGCTGGCTATGGGACCCCAGGGTTTATTAAAGTACATCAAGGCTGCCCGGTTGTCACCTGCATCCTGGGGATGGTGCTGCCCATGAGTGCACAGGGCTCCTGTGGGATGAGGACGGAGGGAGAGGAAATGGCCCTGGTGCCCATGAAGGGCAGGATCCATCCCTGACCCCCTCTCTGCCTGGTGAAGGGCTGGAAAACCAAATCTGCCCAGGGAATGCCTGGCCGCACAGCTGTGCTCTGCTCTGGAGGAGGAGGGTAGGTGGGGAAGCCCTGGGGTGCAGGGACCCCCAGGGAGATGAGCCCATCACATCCCCCTCTGCACCTGGGGGAAGTTGAGGCTGTCCCCCAGCATGGCATTGCTGAGCCCCACCTACTGTTCCATGGGGCAGCCCCCCTAACCATCCTGTCCTGGCTTGGGTACTGGGACTGGGGTTCCTGGTGGCAGCCCCCTTCCTGCTACCACGTGTGCTCATGGGGGCTGTGACCCCCCTGGGCTGTGGGACAGCCTGGACCCCTCGAGCAAGACTGGGCTGCAGGCATTGCACTGCAGCACATTCAGGATGAGGGAGGGATAGCTACAGCCCCCATGAGCTGCCCCCAGTCCAGAAACCGCAGGAGACTCCTGGGGGACGCTCCTGTCCCACAGCTAGTCTTAGGAGCCAGGATAAGGTAAGCAGCGGAGTAGCCACCTGGGCAGGGACCTACCCAAAACAGCCCTGCTGCACCCCCAAGCCCTGTTGATGCCAGCCCCCATCCCTGGGACAGCCCCTCACAGACCCCACGCTCAGCTGCATCCTTACACCCATCCTGAGGTCTTCTCAGTGGGGTCAAGGTCAGTTGAAGGCTGTCAGTGGCAAGGGTCCTGGCCAGCAGGTGCTCCACAGAGGGCAGAGCCCCTGAGGGAAGCCCACAGATGCCGAGGTGCTGCAGACAGGGAAGCAACTGGTTACTCTGCGAGTGGTTGGGGTGGTGGGGCAGCAGGAGCAGGGCAACTCAGGGAGGTGGCCATGGGTATCCCCCCACGTTTGGCTGTTGTCCATCTCCCCATTGGCTGATAGGGCCTCTCATCTGGGGAGGACCCTGCTCCTGAGGGACATGAAACCTGACAGTGTGTGGGGGTGATGGGTGAGCATGGCTGAGGTGCCATCACTGTCACAGGAGCAGCCAGAGGTGGCTCAGCCAGATGGGTGATGACGTTTTGGGGGTTCACTTTGGCTTGGAAGTGAGGCTGGGGGCCCAGCTGTGGACTGTCACCCCAGTGTCACCAGTTTTGGCCCCATGGTCCCCCCTCTTTGCCTCTGATCCTCCAAGTGTTCTGTGCCCTGCTGGGCAGACACAGGGGCTCCCAGGGAGAGATGTTACTGCTGATCTGAGCCACAACTCACTGTGTCCTCAGCAGCATGAGAGAAGGATTGGTGCAAGCACTGCATCCCCAGTCAGGAGCACCCTGACCTATACCTACAATGCTTGGGACACACTTCTGGCTGGGATCCCAAGGGGGTTGCTTCTGGTGGGTGACACAGCAGGGCAGGTGGGGCTCTGGCCAAGGCAGCCCTGTAAGCCAAGGAGGAAAGGAAAGCAAAACCACAGAGCTTCTGTGCTCATCTTATTGTAAATTAGCCTCATTCCCATTAATGGCTGCTTCTGCTTACTGTGACCTGTGGATGTGCCCACGCTGGAGCAAGAAACCTCAAGGCGTCTGTGGCCATGGATATGTCTGTGCTGCAGCAGGAGCACCTCTGGAGGGAATGTGGCCCAAGGACCACATGATGGAGAAGATACACCTTGAAGCATCTCTGGCTGTGCAGGAAGTCATGCTGGAGCACCTTGAAGTGTGTGGCCATGGATAAACCCACAACAGAGCAGGTACACCCCTGGAAGCACTGCAGCCATGGAGAAGGTCATGCTGCAGCAGGTATATGCCCCATCCCTGGAAGTGTTCTGTGTTGGATGGAGCTTGGAGTGACTGGATCCTAGTGGAAGGTATCCCTGCCCATGAATCGGGGTTGGAACAAGATGACTTGAAGGTCCCTCCCAACCCAAACCATTCTGTGATTCTATGATTTTGTGAACATTTGTGGGAATTTTATGGACAGTTCACAGACATTTCACAGGAGTGATCCACCGACAAAGGGAATGATATCTGTGTATGATAGCAAGGGGTGGTGGTGGGTATTTGGATAATGTGGGACCTGAGCAGGATGTACATGGCATAGAATAAGAGGTGGAGAACATGTTGCATTGGTCAGGGAGGAAGAGTTCCATTTCTTCCCTGAGACTGTGGTTTGGATTTGTGCTGACCAGAGCACTGATAACCCCTGGATGTTTCAGTCAATGCTGAGCATCTTTGCTGCTCCTCACACTGCTCCAGCAACAGAATTTTGGGGTTTTTAATCATGGGTTGGTTTAGCCGACTCCAAATGTGCTGGTAACATCCCTGTCTCTGAGAGGAATGGGATCTTTGCGCAGGAGTTAGCAGGGCATGTTGTGTGAGAGTTAAACTGGATTTGAAGCGGGGAGGGGATAAAATCAGGACACTGGAGGTAAGCCTGGGGGTGACACGCCAGTGCTGAGGGACTGTGTGCTAGCGAGGTCCTTCAGTCTGCTGTCTCAGTAGAGGTAGGGAATGGAGATCCATGCAGCAGCAAGGATGAAAGTGTTACTGATGTGCTAGAAACCATGGAAGCTCATGAGAATGGTCACTCAGGAACTGGAGCCTGTCTTCCCAAAAAGCCACTGGGATCAATAACCCCACTGAAGTGCATCTACCCCAATGTCCACAGCATGGGCAGCAAACAGGAGGATCTGGTGCAACAGGAAAACTATGGCATAGTTGCCATCATGGGGACATGGTGGGATGACTGGCACAATGGGAATGGTGCAACTGATAGTGGTGAACTCTTCAGAAGTGACAGGCAGGGACTAAGAGGTGGTGGGGTAGCCCTGTTATTTAACATATTCAGAAGGGGGAGGCCTAGTGGTCTGCTAAGAGAGTGATGGGACATCCTTAAGTCTGTCTGGTTTGGTCAGGAGGAGCTGTTAGGGGGGATGGACAGTTCTGACTGTGAGAGCACTCTACAAGAAGGTGTTTGAAGTAAGACAAGACTCATCAGACTAATTCAGTAAACACTTTCTCAAAGAACAAAGTAAATGTGAAACAACTGTTTTAGAAAGCAGTTAGAATTTTTTTAATACATTGTAAGCTGAGAATTGAAGTCTGCAGGGAAATTTTGTTTTAAGGTTGTGCCTTAAAAAAGATATAACCATGTACCTCTCATTATAAAAGAACCTGAGGCTCCCATGGAATCACTGTGGTTAGATGGCAGCTCAGGAGATCTGCAGTTGGGTCCTAAAATCTCTCAAGGATGGAGCCTGCACACCTTCATTAGGCAACTTTCTCCACTGCCTGCCTGATATTGAGGGGCAACTTTTCTCCATGTATTAACCTCATCTTCCCTTCTCCAGGCTGAGTGTGCCTGGCTTCCCCACACTTTTCTCACAATCACATGTATCCCTGCCCATTTTGGTGGGTCTCCACTGGACCATTTCAGTTGATCTGTATTTTCCCAGGGAAGGGCCTCTCATCCAGCACATGCTGGATGTGTTGACACCTGCAGTTTCCCCAAATGCAGGGAGCTTGACTTCGTCTTCCAGAAATTCAAGCATGCAGCAATAACTGGGGATGTATGCATTCTGGCTTTGTTGGGAAGAAACCATGAAATTAATAAATCCTTTTTCTAACAGAGCTAATTAAAATCTCAGTTGCTTTTGCCACTGTAGTGTTCTGAATAAGGCTACTGTAAAAGACCTTTTACTCCTGTGCCCACGCAAGCACTGCAGGGAGTTTCCCAGAAAACGGCAGAAAGTCCCGAACTGCAGAAATTCACAGCACAGATAACTGCAGTGACCTTTCTAATTCCAGCGGATACCAAGAACTCGATTCTCTCAATTCCAATTTTACCTAGCTTTGCCCTCTGAAGTACTGCAATAGAAGCTCGCAGATTTTTTTTTCAGAGCAACGCCTACCCAACATACGTATGTTTGGTATAACAAAACCCATTTGGTGTGAGGAACTCGTTTGGTGCAGTAAAACCCCCGGTTCCTCTCCCTGATGCTGTTTGTGTCTCTCCCCCGCGCTGCTCCCTCGCCACAAGATGGCGGCGGGGGCGGTGCTGGCGGCGCGGGCGGCGGGGGGCGCTGCGAGGCCGGGCGGGGCCGCGGCGCAGGGCGGCCGGAGCCGAGCGGGCGGTGTCGGCGCCACGCGGGGCTGCTCGGTCGGTGCCCGGCGGGATGTTCCGCAAGGCGCGGAGGGTGAACGTGCGGAAACGGAACGACTCGGAGGAGGAGGACGAGGAGCGCGACGAGGAGCCGCCTCAGGAGCCGCCGCCGGCGGCGGCGGCCGGGGCGGGGGGGGAAGGGCCCAGCGAGGCCTCCATGTCGCTGGCGGCGGGCGCCGGGCTCCTGCCGCTGCCCGCGGGCTGCGTGCCCCTTGCCCTGCCCGGCAGCCCCGCGGCCTTCGCCTGCGCTGCGAGCTACGGCGCGGCGCTCGGCCTGGGGCTGGGCTTGATGGGAGGCGACCGGGCAGGCCTGGGGGCTCTGCCGGCGCCCGCTCTCCTGCCTCCCGCTCCGCCGCCACCGCAGCCCCAGCCCCAGCAGGGCAACGGGCTGCTGGCGGCCGGGCGCCCCAAGGAGAAGAAGCGGCCGCGGGAGAACAAAGAGGTGCCGCGGGCCAGCCTGCTCAGTTTCCAGGACGAGGAAGAGGGTGAGACGAGAGGGTGCCCGGCTTTTGGCTCGCCGCTTGCGAGGTGGAAGGGGCCCGGAGGTGCTGG